ATAAAATGATCTACTTGGAAATATTGTTTTGTTACTAATTGCAACTTTGCAAGTTGAAGAAAACAAAATAAATATAGATACTAATTGCAACTTTGCAAGTAGTATTACTCTGAAAATAGGTTTTTCTATTTGGGAAGCTAATCGGAGATTAGAATAATCTTTGAGAAGATTGAACATATTCTTCTGAAACAAATTTCGATATTTAAGTTAGAATGAAACCGCAAAACTAGTTGAATAATCACCGGTTGGGGAAATGAGAGGAGTTAAATATTACGTTGGATTATAAAAATAATTTGTGGTGTAACATGTTAATTGAATGAGACCATCTCCAATATATATTTCTATATTTGACTCTAAATTAGAGTAAAAAAATAGTATTCTTCTATTTTCACTCCAATGTATCTCTATTAGACCATCTCCAATGTATTTCTCTATATTTAACTCTAAAATAAATAAAATAAAAGCATTCTTTAATTTTCACTCCAATCCTCTATATATTAATAGAAGAGACACTAGGTGAAAATCCTAGGTGTCATCATAAGAGAGTTTTAAGGAATTCATTTCCTAATAAAAATTATTAAAAAATTTTAATAAAAATTATATGGAAATAACGAATATGTGGTAATTAGTATAAAGAATTTTATTTAAGAATATATAGAAAATTTTTGAAAATATTTTCTTTTCAATAATACTAGATATTTTTATATGAGTCAAAAGCGGCATTAAAATATTCAAAAAAAAAAATTCATTATTATTTTTAATAGATGGGAGAAATGAAAACTTAAAAAGATAAATTATGTTTATGTTTAATCAAAATTTAGCTTTATTATATGTATGCACAATACATATCATTTTTGTGTGTTTATAAATGTTAGAATACACGTCTAAATATTAATTTTGATTAAAAACATATTTAATTATTTAATCCCACGTTTGGTGTGGATCAAAATCTAGTGTATCTCTATTATAGAAGAAATGCTATTTTTCCTCTATTTTAGAGTTCTCTACACTTTTTTTCTATATATAGAGGCAAAAATAGCAATCTCTATTTTATAATTGGAAATTGAGATGGGTTGGAAAAAAAATAGAGGATTGCTAGTTTTTACTATATTTTTAGAGAAAAAAATAGGGATGAGTTATATTCTAGTCATTTTAATTGGAATCATTCCTTTAACGAAACTATTCAAAAAGAACAACATGAACTTGATTAATACGAGAAAACAGAAAATGCAATAAGATTCACTTAAAATTTTCACTAGGAAATAAGAAATCTAAGTTATTGTACAAGTGGTTTGAACAGCGAGCATAGGAGTTCCCTTGCAATAACTCGGACCAAACATCTCGTCCGTAACCAAAAGCGCGCACTTCTCTTTTCCAAGACAATTCTACAAAAAAAAAAATGAACAAATAAAATCTAGGTTGAAATATTAGTAACGTTAGTCAATGTTGTTAACCTTTTTGACGAGCCTCAAGGTAGCTGGTGCACCACAATTACCATGTCGAAATTGTCCACATGTACCAGAGGGATTTCCATAATCAGCGAAATCAATCTTTGTAATAACATATCTAGGCTTATCGCAAGATATACGAGTCATCGGACCAGGATCAGGTTCTTGATTTGTACACTCTGTATATTCCTTGCTAGATTGATTGGAATTATTGGAACTAGAGATAAAACGTTTTCTGTCGATTTTGATGCCTTTTGCATCATCAGAAACATCGATCTTCGAATCAAAACCAAACACATATGAATGAAACAAAGCTAGAAGCAAAATGATGCCATGACGATGGCGACAATGTGAAGTACCCATTTTTGGTTATGTTCTCATTATCAAGGATAACAAAAATGTTGAAGTAGAGTACTTTTGGATGTAGGTATGGTAATATTACCTTCTGGTTCAACTTGAACTAATAAGTTTTGGAGAGGTGAATTTGTGTGTAATTATTGTGGACGGCGGATCCTACACAGTTGAATTTGTCAAGGGTTGAAAGGAGAACTGAGTCTTCTGACTATGAATCACAAAGCAAAAGTTGAAGATATGTTTTATTGCTGTTTCTGTTAAGCTCTGGTTACAAATGAATCGATCCCCATTTTGGGAGATGATAATGAACAATATATAGTACTTCTAAGTAAAATGGGCCAGCTAATAAATGGGCTTGGCCCATTAAGCAATATATTAAAATTAGGCCCATTACTCCATTAAGCCCATTTTTGTTAATGGGTTTAATGTCATTTTGGGCCTAGATTCAGACTAGGCTTTTGTAGACTTGCTCCGATTTCGTTAGGATGCTGCCCAGTTGATCTTGTCGTTATATCGATCTCATAGGGGTGAAATCCGACCCCTACAATTATGGCCACAGATTTTTCTCTCAGTTTGTAGTTCTATTTTTCAATTTTTTTTTTCTCCTTCCTTTTCCACGATTACTTATTAATAGATTTACATTATAAATGAAAAATAGCATTTTATTTCGTGGCGAGGCAAGTTTTTAGACATGAAACAAATTTGTTTTCTTCTGAGTTCGAATCATTTTCGAAACAACCGCACTTTTGTTTTGAGGGCTTATAATATGTCATTCGGTCTTTACGAAACAAATTGAACATTGAGTCATTTAGTTGAAAACCGGGTAGCATGATTCGGCTAGTAGCACAAAAGTCTTGCATGCAAGATGTGTAATGCGCCACTCTTATACCGTCCAAATCACCAAAGTTTATCCCACACAGAAAAAACATTTGTTTTTTCCCCCAAGGTTACAAAACAATATAGAAGAACTGGTCAATAAAGAAGCCCCCAACATTTTTCTCAGTGGAGTGGGTTTGACTGGTCTCATATTTTTTTTTTTTTTTTGTGCAACAACTGGTCTCATAATTATATGTTGATCTGTAAGTTAATGTTTGGTTTTATTGTTATATATAGGCCCGAATTTGAGCTTCTACTCATGTTAATCGTTTTAGACATGTCTCGAAAATTTATTTGTGTTCTTGCATTTCAACCCAACTAATCATAAATTTGTATGGAATTTCAATTAGACTATAATGGTTGTGGTATCCTTTAGTTAACGGTTGGTTTGACTAAGCCTATAAATGGCTACTCGCGGGAACTTCATTTTTTAGGGGAACTTTTATTCGACGTGAAGTAGTCCGCCCGTCCGCCCTTTGTTAGCTGGTATATATATCTTTCCAAAGTGTTCTGTAATAGCAGTTTTGTGCGAGCTTTGTTGTTGTGTTCCCAACCAAATTCAAAATAGTCATAACGCATATTTATAATACCCAAAATAATAACAAAAATTTCTATAGCAAAAATCTACAATTAGAGCCGTAAACTTTTTTTAACCATGAGAAAATGCTATTAGTTGAAAATGGAAAATCTTTTCATTGCTCTTCTTAGATTTGAACTTTGAAAATTTAAATGATAAACCAAAGCTTTGTAAACATTTAGGAAAATTATACTAACATGTTATTAATGTGACAATTTCATGTAAGACTATAACTTGTAGCGTATCTAATGTTAATCATGAAACCAAATACGTACAGAAACTAAATTGATGAAGTTTTCTTGGATAAATTAACTATATATATAGTAATTAATGTAGGAAATAAGAAAGCTAAGTTTTTGTACAAGTAGCTAAAAAAGCGAGGCTAACAGGTCCTTTGCAATGGGTAGGTCCAAACATTTCATCTGTAACGAAAAGCCTACAACGTCTTTTTCCAAGACAATTCTGCATAAACAATAGTATTTTTTTATTATATACACTTCAAACAGATTATATATTATTGTTTTGATTCAACTTTGTTTAGCCTTTTTGACGAGCCTCAAAGTAGCGGGTGCACCGCAGTTTCCGTGTCTAAACGTTTCACATGAACCAGTGGGCTGACCATAGTCGGCGAATTTGATCTCACTCATAACATATCCTTCAAAGCAAAAGGGTGAAAATAAAACACCACCAGTAGTCTTGTTATGAAGCGCGCACAATGGTTCTACCTTGCCCGATTTGAAACCAGAAATAATATGTTTCTGATCACTGTGGATTTTAGTGCCTCTCACATCATAAGAACCATTGATCTTTGAAGCAAAACAAGACATAGAAGACGTAAACATAACAAGAAGCAAAATGAGGAAGCCATGGTAACGAAGACAATGTGTACTTTCCATTTCTTTAATTTAAACCAGAATTGGATAATGAAAATGCTAGGCAGGCTACTTTGGGACGTACTTAGATATTTTAAAAAGTTTAAATAATTAAAGTTTATTGGAGAGAAGAATTCGTGTGCGGATGTGGCTGCGAAGTTTTCTATCAATTTGTCGTTTAAA